TCCCTCCTCCGCAGTAATTTACCTATCTTCTTTGGCAGATTACACGATGGCATCATACGGATTCTGGTAGACTGGTCTTACTTTTTATCTAGCCCCAAATATTTATTTACCTCCATTCTAATTAAGAATATTCTAAAATAATTGTCAACCAGATCTTGTGGGTAATTATTCTCAACCAGAATTCTCCTTAGTCGACTAAATTCCTGGTCCCGATGCTTAACATCTGCTGGACACAGGGTCCTTATTCCCATTGACTTTATAACTACTATTTTAACCCCATTAGTGTGGTTGGAAAAGATTACTCCAATCATTGACGAGTACTCTTAGCTCGGAAAATTTCTTTAAATTACAAAGAATGCTGGATATGATAAAAAAACATAGGAATTTGGGAATAGGAATCAGAACTAAAGCTAATCAAAACACGCCTATAAGAGTGTTGAGGAAGCAAAAATAAAGTAAGAAAGTGATAGAGGTGGAGGTGATAAAAGTCAGCAAAGCAGCCAACACTCTGAATAGAAGAAATAAGTGTGAGAAGTTAAGCAGAAACTACTTGTGGATGTTGGATAGGTTTAGATAGAGAGATTGAGAGAGAAAGAGTGTGTGGGGAACGAGAAGTACCCCCGAGCAAGAGGAGGAGGCTTGATTCGGCTCAAATTCGATTTTGTACCTTAAATCACACTCATTTCAAGAGCGATGCATTTACACAACACGCGTGCAATGGAACGAAATCACATGCGGTAACATTGCAGGAGCAAAGGCATAAATAAATGATTTAGGGGAGGATGCAGCTGTTCGGTCACAATTTCACCCGTTCCACGCTGCATCTGCAGCCACTTAACTGTTGAGAAAATATTTGAACAAAATATAGGATATCCAACCAAAACATGGGATGCCTAAGTAGACCAAATTGGACTATAAGAAGTAGGTAGGCTCGTAGCCTGCCGCCATTCTTGCCTTCGTATTTTTGGTAAATCATCGTTAAACTCGGTGTCCTGCTCTGACGATGTCCGTCATGTGACGGATGAAAGCTTAGAAAGGTTTGATCGGGGTCGAAGGGCGGTGCGCCAAAGACCTATTCGCACAAATCGACAATCACAGCCCCAAGGCAAGCCCCCCACAGCTTCTGGTGAAACCATCTTACGAATCCCTTCCATTCGCCTTTAAAACGAAATGAAAGGTACTCCAACGCCAGTCTGGCCTTAGTCCGATTTAAGTCTTAAAGCCAAAGTTCACATAAAAAGGGCCATTATCTTACCCAGTATCCTTTACAAAAATGTCACTCCAACTACCTTTAAAGTTTTTTGAGAATAAGCCTTTTTAACTTTTTCATCTTTCAACGGGTCAGATCTTACTGAAATTTCGGCAGCATCCTGCGGATGAAGAGCAAGAGCGGAGTCGAAATTGTGTTGTCGTGTTGGCCGAATGGATTCAACAGGATGACCCAAACTAACAGTGGTTGATCACCTAAGCTAGACCCATTTATATGTTTTACTTCTTTATAACCTTATGAGAGGTAAATTCTGATTCAATGTATAACCCCATATTTATGCTTAACTATGTTATCTCCGAATCCTGTATCTTCTTGATCCAGCAAGTTTTTCAAGCTTATTTTTCCTCTATTCTTAGCAAACCGAAGTATACAAACGTTTGTATAATCACATCCATATGTTTTTTATGCAGATGTATGTTTGCTCCATCCATATAGTCTTGCGTGATCCTGATGCTCAAATTGAGAGAAAAGGCATTTATGTTAATTTCGTTTACAGGAATTTTTCATATTTCTCCATTATTCACTTTCGCTCTAAGTCAACATACCTGTATTTTTTTGTTGCTCATAGACAGATGACTACTTGGAACCTCTTTCTTGTAATTCCTATCATTCCAAGTGTTCCTATTGCTAAGCTTCTCTACTACTCGTCTTCATGAAATTGCTGGAGGCCACCTACTTGCTTAGCCTCATAGACCTCAACATACCTACAGCGCATCAATGCCGTGTTTTGCCACATATTATTCTCTTCTTTATCTCTTTTATCCTTCCTCGTATTCCAATCATTATGCTTTCTTTTTTTTCTACTATACCTTTCTCTTTTCATCTCAACCTCTCTACTTTTTCTCCAACTTCTCTCCATTTTTCCCCCGTCCCATCTTTATTTGGAATTCTGTGATTCGCTCACCCCGTTCGAAAGGTCTGCAGCTCTCGGGGCCGCTGTATCTGCGGGATTTGCAAGTGTGATCTTGGCCGCTACGACGGCAATTTTTGCGAATGCGACCGGGCCGCCTGTAGACGGTCCTCCGATGACAACCAGGTCTGTGGAGGCCCTGAGCGCGGAGTTTGTCAGTGCGATGGTTCGTGTAAATGCCTTCTCGGCTATACAGGCGACAGATGCGACTGCGCCCTGAGTGAGGCGGCCTGTCTGGATGCTAGACTCCCAGATGTAGGCACATGTAAAACTTTATTCGGAAGAGCATTGCTCTCTCTGCCCTTTAAGTGATGTCTTTCAAACGTACGATTGCGCATATTTTCATTTATTTTCATTTTATCTTGAACGAACTATCAGACATTTTTATGAACATTTGTTACTTTCTCACCACACACTCGATCACATTTGTCTTAGGTGCGATTTATACGAAGACTGACATCGGGGCAAGGTACATCTATGTAAACCAAGAAGCCTGAGTTCAACGGACATTCTGATTTCAGTAGAGAGATTCTTGGATCAGCCCTATCATAGGATGAGTTAAAATTAGTTTTGATCTTCTGGGGATTTGCGTGAATAGTTATTTTTTAAGATCTCTCTAGTACTAGAGTATCTTCTCTCACTAAGTCAAGCTTCGTAATTTATTGGAGGACTTTCATCTAATCTTTGAATCTCTCCACCAAACACTTTCACTCGAAATGGAAGTAAGCACAACAATAATTTCTCTAAGCCATGAGTGTTACACGATGCTTGCAGTATTCTGATTTTTGTCCATAGCAAATTGTATTATTTTTCAAAATTCCCCCTACTTCATAAGTAAATCATGAGATATTCTCTGAAGGAATCTTTTTGTTCTCTAAGGCAAATTCTGTTTATGTGGCTAAATGGTCTGACTAGTAATTTCTTGGTCGTGATATAAGGCGATTAATCTGGAAAAGTTTGGTAATCAAACATAATTCGTAAATACGGGTTGACTATAGTTTCGAACTTTCCTCGGTTTCATTAGCATCCCAGATGGGATTCCAAACTGGGTTTTTAGTTATTAGTAGGGATTTTAAGAAGTTTTGTGCGTGTATAGTGGCAGCACGCTACCACTTCGCTATACAGCCTCGTGTGGCATGGGGTTACAGGTCAGATAGGATTTTCAAGGCCAACCAAGCCTCTCGAAATTCACATTTGTAATTAGAATTATCGACGAGGCCATCTTATATCTGCTATTATTATCGGCCAAATTACTACGTACTGAGGGCTTATGTTCTTAAACTATCAGCAGATCTTAGATAATAACGTGAGTCGCCCTAATTTGCCTAAATTGTTGTAAGGAATGATTAGTTAATCTCTTACAATGGAATTAGCAGACTTCACACATGAAATAATCTACAAAATTATGGTAAGCTTCATTAGTCCTGAATAGGTTAAAATGCTCACAGTTAACCATTTATCTTTTCTTATATA